TGCTCCTGCTGCTGCTGCTGCTGGCTCTCTGGCTGTCCCCTCTCCAGTGAGCTGGGAGCGATCTGCCCCAGTGCTGCCGCCCGCGGCTTTTATTCCCCTTCCCAGAAGGAGTGGCCTCATGCCGCACATTACGTCATCCTCGGGAGAAGAGCTCAGCTCTTTCCAGCCTGTTCCAGCTCATTCTTGTTACTCATCCATGAGGAGAGGCACCTCTTACGTCATGCCCAGCATACCTTCGCCCTTAGTCTTGTAGCTCTGCTCTCCTGGCTTATAATTAGCAGCATCACCTCAGCCTTCGAACGGGATGCCTGAGCCGCCCCTGCCAAAAATCTGTGGCCTTTCTATTTCCCAGGCAGGGAGTGGGGCTGGGCTCCTCTCCTCCCTGCCTTCTCCCCCTCGCCTGTAGCCAATCCCCCCCCCATCTGCAGGCAGGACAGCACCAGCACCAGCACCAGCACCAGCACCAGCACCAGCACCAGCACCAGCACCAGCACCAGCACCAGCACCAGCACCAGCAGCAATGCTTTGCCGAATGCACCTTGCACCATTTGCCTCCAGCTCCCTGGCCACCCGGCTGGGCACGGTGAGGACCCTCTGGCCACACGCAGAGACCATCTTCACTGAGCTGCAGCAGGAGATGGAGAAAGCTCGGGAGTTCATGAGCAGCTTCGAGCAGCTCCTGAGCAGCCAAGGAGTCACCGCCATGGAGCGAGCCCCAAGCACCAGCACAGCCCTGACCCAGGGCTCTGGGGAGGGCTTCTCCATCTGCCAGGACGTCAAGAACTTTGCTCCTGAGCAGCTGTCGGTGAAGATGGTGGGCAGGAAGGTGGTGCTGGTGGGGCAGAAGGAGACACAGAATGTCGATGAGAAGGGCTCCTTCTCCTACAAGTACGAGGTGCTGAAGCGGGAGTGGGACGTGCCCGAGGAGGTGGATGCCGAGGCGCTGACATGCTCCCTGTCCAAGGAGGGGCAGCTCCGCATCCCAGGCTCCAGGCTGGCCCTGCCGGCTGCACCGGTGCGGAATGTGCCATTGGGGCGGGGCCAGCGGTGGGGCAGCGCCAGCGCCGATGATGGAGCCGAGCGGGCCAAGGCGTGACAGGGAGCGTTGCAGGGCTGGGCTGAGCCCGTGCTCGGGCACAGCTGCTGGTCGCAGGGCAGGACCATGTTGGGGATTGTGTGATGGCCCAGTGGGGGGGTCTCTGCCCAAAACATGTAGCTTTTTTGATATGTAATAAATATTTGTGACTTTTATCTGTGTGGCTTCTGTGTTTGCTGGTCTCGCCTGGCCCCGTGCTTTGCAATGCTCCTGGCTGTGCCCACGCAGCAGGACGGCAGGATGGGAAGCCGGGCTGTGCTGGCGCAGGGCACATCCCTGGCACCTCTCCCCAGCCCTGCCTTGGCAGAGGAGGTTGTTTGAGGGGCTCCAGCACATGCACAGCGCTGAGCATCCCCGGGGGGGCCCTGAGCATCCCCCCGGGCAGCCTTTGGGCACCCGACCCCCATCTTCGGGATGGTGCTGGGACACTCCCGTGCGGTACCCGCCCGGCCACGAGCCGTGCCGTGCCGTGCCACCATCCCCCCGTGCCGTGCGGTGCCAGTGGCCCCTGTACCGTCC